GATTTGTGCCGCAATTCTGCATTTCTCCCTATACTTAAGTTAAGGAGTGAATGTTCCCCTTCTTTTACACCTCTTGACCTTTGACCTTTGACCCCCACAGCTTCGACATCTCCCAACTCGTTTTGACGATCCCCCGCCAATGTGCCGAATATCGTGACCGTACGTCGAGCGTTAAGATTTGTGCCCAACTGTTACAGACGCACGGACGGACGGACGGACGATCAAGCGATTCTACAAGCTGCATCTGACTATGTCAGATGAGCTAAAAACTAGTAACAAGTTAGTAACAGTTAGTACAGTTGCAAGTTTAACAACCAAATACCAATTTCATCTGCTTTTATCTTAAGATTTATGTCTTCTATGATGTTGTTATTGAATCGTTGCATTCAGTATGACGTAACACGTATCTACTCGTAACATTTAGTATGACGTAACATGTATCTACTCGTAACATTTAGTATGACGTAACATGTATCTACTCGTAACATTTAGTATGACGTAACACGTAGCTACTCGTAACATGATCTCACTTCACTAGCAGTTACTCATTTTATGAATTCAGATGTAGCTAAGAACATAATCACAGGCTCAGGGTTACATACTTGTGTATCAACGATAGGGCTTGATTTTACTGGTTTCCCTATTTTTTCTCCTGCTATGCTAAACAAGGCAGGCTCTTCCTCATCCGAATTATCAAACAGCGCCATGCCGCCAGGCTTTACCTTCGACTTCCTGTCATAAAACACGAAGCAAAAGTGAATAGAGGACAGACAACTACGCATACGAAAATCATTCATATTTCATTAATATTTGACATTCTAATAAAAGATCTTTTAGAAATATTCCTTTATTTTAAACAAGTTTTCACAACTCAATGAAATTAGGATTCACGTGCATTTTACAGGCATAGTTCATCTAGACAAAGAATTACCAACCGAACATTCTTTAACAGCTAAGAGCCTATTGCTTAGCGTTCAATCATTATAGCGGCTGCATGGACCTAGGAGCACAACCAGTTCACACGCACCTATCGCGCGTCAGCGGGGGTGGCACGGTAGCAAACATGTCTGCTTCCGGCTCTTCTGCGAACAAACTGTTGCTCGAGGCAGAGAGTGGCGTGCTGCTCTTCTTCTCGCTACTCGTCTGGCTGTTTGAGCGGCCCATCTTGCTACTGGGTGGTGCCTCACCTGTCTTCATGCCCTCCTCCTCATCTTCATCCTCGTCACTGGGTGGACCGTGGCTCTTAATGCTCGCAGCAAACGGGTTCTGTGCATTGCCAAACGTGGATACTGCACTTACTGGCAGCTGCGACATAGGCCAAGAGCACAGTTGTCATTACACAGCGGACAAGACTTAACATCTGGCTTGTAACTGCTGGGTTACTAGTTTTGTGCGCAGGTTACTCACATATTAATTGTGTGATATACAACATAGAAGTAGGGAAGTTACTGAATGCAACTGGTTAATTGCACATAAATTAATTTATTTGCACAGATCAATAATGAATGTTTGTAGGTGTATCATAACATCAACTGCATGAGTGGTTCTGAGCACAAATACCTCAGGTTAACATCACAACAAGTGCCGCAGAGCGACAGCGCTCACCTGATGGCAAAAATATTTCTAATGGTGATTGAACCATGAAACTTTTTATGTAGCGCAATTATAACCTAAATTAGCTGAAAATAACCCTAGAACCTAGAGGCTACTGTTCCTTTAATAACTTGCTGCATCTCTGAGTATTGCACCAGCGCGTGGCCAGTGCCAGGCACCGGCTGGAAAAAATACAATGTGTCCAAGCGAACAATGCGAACAATCAGTGCGAATTTTATACAGTGCAACTGAAATGCGAAATATAACCTTGCCGCTGCGGAATGCGGAGGTTAAGCCTAGAAATCGTAATGATTCCGCAGAACGCGGAATGGTTGGAGACCCTGCCCACAGGGTAAATAGACCCATGTGAATGCTGTAGACAGAGCTATTTGGCTTAACAAGGATCATGATGATGCACAAACAACAATAGTCGCACTTGGAAGGAATATCAGATATTCCACAATAAAGAAAAATACCTATAAAGTTCGATTTGACAAATCTGCAATTTTTTTCTAAACCAACTTTCGGAACACAAAGGTTTTCAATATGTCAGTATGTAGAGTCACTTTTTAAAAAGAGAGAATTGCAGGTGAGAACCCTGAGCACATACGTACCACAGTGGGGGTCGTGAGTGGGCTCTGTGCTCCGAACAGATCAACATCTGGGCTGTCCTGCTGGCTGCCAAACAACAGATCTTCATCCTCAAACAAGCTCTTAGACCGCTTCTTACCCTGTGTAAAGCACCAGCAACAGAGCATCACATCTAAGTCAATAATTAGCATAAGAGGCCAAGGGCCCATTTTCAGAAACATTGTAAAGTTATAAGTAAAAGTAACTACTTAAATGTTACTATACAGGAATAGTGTTGACATTTACAGTTGACGATTACAGTTAACTGAGTAATTTGCTATGAAAAGGCCACGAATATGATAAGGCCGGTAATACGATGAGGAACAATCACAAATCTCAAATTCAAATATATTTACTGTGCATAACATGAAGATGTGCATATTATTATAGTTACTCACATAAATAATGACGAACACGAATAAATAACCGATTAAAAATTACGTAGTCGCGTTTTTATTATGCACTGTAAGAATTTATTCGCATATTTATATTTAGTTATTTTTATCACTGTTTGGTAGCCACAAGAGGGCATTGGAGATCATGGGACAATTCCCGTAACTTCACAAAGTTCCATGACTTATGAGTCTCATGTTAACACTAAAGTATACCTGACAACGAGCGACAGGGTTTCAGCGTAAGAGAAATTTCAACACGGAGAGATTTGTGTTGGCACATTGGCCCAATATGAGAGCATGTCTGTCAGTGATGCTATCGTAAATAGAACCTTATTTCACCAGATCGGTGGTACAGCGTTTTGGTAAAATTGCTGCATAGTAAGCACTTGTAAGGCACCTTGAAATTTTTCCACATTCTCATGAACTGGCAAAATTATCATTCAAGCTGCCAGCTACAGTTCTTACCATACCTCTGGCTTTGGTTCAGTCACGGCGGACAGTGGCTCTGTCTTGTCTACTAGGACAGAGGTTGAACTACTAAAGGCGCCAGTGTCATCCAATGCTTCGACTTCGCCATCATCAAACAGCGAGATGGGTTTCTTTGCTGGTGCCACGTGTGGTACCCTGGCAGCAGACTGCACTTGCATCACAGTAGTAGTGTGGGACGTACTATACGAATGAGACAGAAATACTATTTCAGGGGTAGAAATTAACTTTTGAACAAGGGAGTCCAACAGACTCCATGCCCTCAAAATAATGGAGTCAGCAGCAAAATAATGGAGTCCGCAGACTGAAGTTCAAAACTACAGATATTAACAATAACGCATGTGATTATTTTGAAGATTCATGTGACTGCACGTCTGCCAAATTTTCTTTGAACATTTCCTGGAAAAATACGGTAATTCCGCGAGGTCGTGCTCTGGAGCAAACTAGTTAGTATATAGCAGAATTTTCAGGGAGTTACACGGACTCCTGCATATGTCAAATCAGGGAGTCCGACAGCAAATCAGGGAGTATTTGACTCCGGACTCGCGTTAATTTCGCACCCTGCTATTTAATTTAACTTTTAACTGAGCACAAAATGGCTTCAATGATATCATCAGCAAATTCTTACTGTAAGACCATTTTATCTGAAGGATTATTCAAAGAAAAAATGTGACGAGTAGATACATGTTACGTCATACTAAATGTTACGAGTAGATACATGTTACGTCATACTAAAAGCCCAACTGTTGACGCACGCACGGACGGACGGCCGGACGCACGCACGCTTATGCGATTCTACAAGCTGCATCTGACTATGTCAGATGAGCTAATCATGCACACAGGATGACTGTCGTTCATCGAGAGGCTTTATTTGTCCTGTACAGCTTGTATATATATAGCAATGCATATATGTGTAGTGCCTCTTATGAGATGAACAAGTGTAACACAAATTATATTACACATTATACACTATTGTACACACATTATATACATATATATATACATTAGCAAGCAAGACCATGACATGCACAATAACATTACGTTGACCCAGGCAGACACACGACCAGGGCCAATGCTGCGTGTAGTACATGTACTCTACCTTGTCCAAAGAGAGGAACAGCACCAGGTGGGAGCTTCTTGCCACTCATCGTTCTCTCCCTCCTTGGCTCAATGAGTCTCTCCTCCTGCTCTAGCTCCTCTTGCTGTACCTCCTCCTTAATGGATGCCGCTCTCGTCTTCGTCTGTACAGTAGGGTCATCGAATAGGCCTTGGTCCTGGCACAAGATAAATCCTGGTCAGAACCATTTAACGCAAGAAAAGAAGAAATTATACGACAAACAAATGCATTAAAACCTGGGTCAGTCCTACAAACATGATCATCAATATCGGTTTTCTTGATCTCATAATACCGGTGCTAATACTCGGCTTTGCATAATACAGAATAACATAAGTGTGTGAATTCTTCCTTTAAGAAAGACAACAATGCCGGATTGGCTAATACTGCTAGGTTAGCCATACTCACCTAGTTTGAACACGGTTTTACATGTTTGCACACTGAAATTTTGACACTGTCGCAGTTTTTTTTATCAAGCATAGACTTTAGGATGCCCAGTTGCGATGCTGATTGGCCAGGACCACATATCATCATGCAAGACAGATATTTCAATTTGCAAGCTAAATAACCTGCAGGCAATGATAACATTCGAAGTGCTGACAACAGAGCTGCCTTGCTCATATAGCAAATAAACAGCTCATCACAGCTCCAATTAATAACAAATGCCTCTTGCCTCGACTTCCTCCTGGTCAAAGAGCCCTCCTTTGCTGGAGAACAGACCAGAGCTCCGGGCAAAAGGATCGTCGTCGTCGTTCCCTTCTTGCGGGGAACCGCCAAACAGGTCTTCTTCTACCACAGAACGTATTACAAAACGTCAATAGCATACTAACTCGGTTTTGTTTACACTATGATACAGAATTTTCAAGCTGAGATCACAAGTTATTTGTCACACTTCAAAGAATTCACCTTGAAATGTCCCTTCCACATTTCTATACACCCAATAAAAGATATGTTAGTCCCTGCAGTACTTAAATTATCTGGACATATTATGTAGGATGACTTATTTAATTCATGCTTATAGAAAACAAGAGGAACTTGTGATTCCATACCTTTGTCACTGCTTTGTGATCGTTCTGCCTTTGATTTAGTTCTTTTCTTCTTTTGGTTAATGGATTCCCTGTGGTGACTCCGATTGGAACTAGACCTCTGCCGCTCTGAAACATGTGCAGACAATGAGGTAAGAACCTTCAGGGTATTAGCCAGGAATGAGTATTGTGGGAGTGCAGAAAAAATATTTGGGAGTGCAATGTTTTTGTATGTGTGGCTTTAGATCAATATTTTAGGACGTGCTACACATTTTTGGCCGTGCCATTTCAAAACTGACCGTGCAAATCACGGCTGCACGGCTCGCTGGCTAATACGTTGCAAACCTTGTCAACAATTTGATACAACTTGATTTATCAAGATGTCCTAAATTAGAGTGGGATGTGTGCAGTTCTTGCAATATGAAATTATTACCTGTGGCCTTAGTATCTTTCCTTGCATTTGGTTGGAATTTGGAAGACAACTCAGCAGCAACTCTTTTCTCTTGCCCAGCCTCCTCTTCCTCCTCTTCCGCCTCCCCTTCTTCATCACTCCAGTGTTTTTCATTGTCCCTCTCTTTTTCTTCAAACAGGTTCTCTTCATTAGTGGATGACTGTTGTAGACAGAAAGTGAATATGTACGTATAAGATGGTTCAGGCACTAACGTGTCATCTCATATTTATCTCCATTTCCTACATATTCAGTTATAATGAATAACACACATAAATTGTATAACTTTAAAGCATTTGAACATCAAAATAATATGTGACCAACTCCCTCAATAACTGACACATTTAATTTCAACACTTTCCATGACATGTTAATTACTTTTAATGTAATCACATGACACGTACAAGAATACTCCCATGTTACAAGAAATTAGCATTTACATCCTTGCACCCAGCTTCAATAATTCCCCATTCTGATACCTCTGAAGTGTCCGACAATTTCCTTCGTTGTCTGACCTGTTCGTCAGACTCTGTTTCCGAGGCTGTGTCATATTCATCCGACTGCTCACTAAATGCACTGGCGCCCTCTGTGTCATTCTCGTCACCTTCACTGGAGATGTCCCCTAGACCGACGTCCTCATCTTGTGCAAAGGCAGGGGTGCCAATGATGTGGGGCAGTGGGCGGTGAACGTACGGGTCCTGAACAGATATGCCGATCGACAGACTTTCAGTAATAACAGGGTTCATAGTAGTAAGACACATGTTGAAATAAGGACTTATAAGACCCTTTCTGGAGGCCAAAATAAGACTTTTTTACGCAATTTCTGATAGATCACCAACTATTAAAGTACACTAATAATATTTATAAACACAATTGCACAGCAGATTTAATTATTCCGTATTATATATACAACAATTCTTACTCTAAGTCGAGAACAGTTTATAAAACAATTTATATGAAATATTGTAGGTTGACGAAATAAAATATGTAGAGGGCTATTGCAGAGATGGGATCATGGTTTAGCAGCAGTTCTATTAACACAGTTATATCACAAAAGTCGGAAATATCTGGGACTAGTAGTGTAATACTGAGTCTCTTGTACCCGTGATCGTTAGGGTTCTGCGCATATTATTAAGAGATATCGCTGTACACATCACTGATATACGTAGTTTAAGCACAAACATCTTTACTGGTTATGATAAAGTATACATAGAATGTGTGCTCCTGTACGGAGCTGAAACATATACAGATAGGTACGCGTCATACAAACATAAACTTACATATCAGGCGTTGCTCGAACCAGAGAGACCGGGTACAAGATGGCGTTGCGCAAAAGATGCGTTGTTCCCCGACCGCCAAGAGCGGTTAAACCGCGCACTTCCGCGGGACTGGGCGCACGCGACCGCGGTGTGTTGTATGTAGCATTTCGCGCTGCCCGCTATACGAATTTGCACGCCGAAGGAGGGCGGGCGCGCGAATCCGTATAGCGGGAAGCGTAACATCGCGCAGTTTTCGTCACACCTACACCGGCTCTGCTACGGCGGGCATTTGCTGCTGCTGCTTGCGCTGAGAGGGTCTATGTTCCCCGTGGTACTGCCGGAACGTACCCTGAGTACGGTCCGGTATACCGGAACGTACCCTGGCACTAGGGGTGAGTATTGCGACCAAAAACCGTATTGCAATATATTGCAATACGACAAAAAACCGTATTGCAATATTTTCGATACGTATTTGGGAAGTGATATTACCATGCCATGTATATAAGTAACAATTTGACTGTTTTAATATCATCATATATTGTATTATTGACAATGATTTAAAATTTCTCATGATTTTTCTGAAGCAAACAGGAGAAGCACTGGCAATGTTTTCGCAGCTGACAGTGCAGCAGGCGCGCAAATCCATTTGAATCTGTGAGGGGGACGACAGTAGCAACACGCGAAGGGGGGGAAATTTTGAAATTAGACCCCTCAGGATGCGTTTTCTCTGCGCGAGCAGGCCGGGGAGTCCCTGTGCCACGCCCACTGAACACACAACACACTCGCACGCACGCACGCACACACACACACCACACACACACACACACACACAACACACACACACACGCATGTTGGTTTGCTGCATAATGATTACTGAAAAAGCGGTGTCCACATAGCATCATAAAATCAAAGGGGGGGGGGGGGGGGGAGGGGGGGGGGTAAACCAAAAAGCAAAAACCCAATCATTTATGCGTGTTGAGGCTGATACACAAAATAATCTGGATCCGTTATTATTGTTGTCCAGTCATATACTATATGCGTGTATAATTATCATCAATTACCTGGCAATGGAATATCATACATTAATTAACCATGCTCAGTTACTAAGTGTCCTCTTGCATAAATATAGCTCGATGTTCCACAGCTTGATCAGTGTCTAAATGTGAAGTGATATTCTCCTAAACTTCATAAACATAACTTTCTCTGCATGGATTTCTGCATAAGAATTATTTAATTATAGAGAAAAAAACGTGTTAAAAAAAGAAACTCGGTACTAAATTTATCAAGATACATTTTTCTCAAGTTGTGCATGATTATTTTTATGTTCTCAAATGCACTTGAATGAAATGAAAAAGCTGCTGCAAAAAAAGCGGAAGAAGCCAATCTGTTGACGCACTATCACACAATAAAAAGGTTCTCACTTCTCAAACAGGCACGCACGGCACGCAACGCCACACACTTACACACAAAATCATGCGTGATCCAAAAGGCGTGGGCGGGGGGTGGGGACATATTTGCATATGATGTCCCCCTCTGAAAATTCGTGGGGGCGGACATGCCCCCTTCCCCCTGAAATTGTGCCGCCCCTGAGTGCAGTCCTCTGTGCCGTAACAATGTCACCCGCATGAATGAATCCTCTCGCAAAGGCACTTCCGTGCGCTGGAATACACAATACCCCTGCCTGCATAATTGCGCTGAATACTGGATTACTGAAACTTAAACTGAAAACTGAACAGATGTCCATGTGGGTGCTCGACTTCAGCTTGTATCGCTCAAGCCGCGCGCGCAGCACTCGATCAGGTAGAGCATAGGCTAATATATAGACCCTGAGTTGCCCGTCATCTCTGCCTCGCTCAGAGGTCTGCCGCCCGCAGTGCTCCATGCAGTGGCCGCTTACGCAGCCAATACTGTATGCCGGTCGTCGTACGCATTGTCGTTTTCGCTAATATATTATTACACGCCAGCTGCCAATAATTTTCGAGCCCATTAACAAATAATAGACATAACAGCCAAAGTGTCAGTAATTTATTATCTTGTATATAGCCACCGTGATCGCTTAAATATCGCATATCGGCGAAGTTGTTATCGCGCATATATCCGAGATTTCAACATATATTGCCCCAAAATACCATATACCGGTATATCCGGTAAGTAGCCGCTACCGGCACTATCTAATATGCCGCCGACCGTACCTCCGCCTACTCACTAACGAGTTCTAGGAGTCGTCTACGCCTACTCCTAACCGAACCGAACCTAACCCTAACCCTAACCCTAATCCTTAACCCTAACCATATCAAATAAGTGACCAGGCGTACGTTCCGATACCGCGACAGCGTACCCAGGGTACGTTCCGGCAGTACACTGCGGGGACATAGACCTTATGACGCTGCTTGCTTGCTTGCGCCGCTGCCGGCAGGGGCGAGTATTTCTTGCTGCGCGCTGCTTTGCCAGCAGTATCTACAATTAGCCTATGTGTTAAAAACTGGCACGGCCACGCACACGTGCTCGCAGTATTCGCGGCCAGCGAAATTTTTTCCCAAACGGTATAACATAGCAAAGATAATAGCGCTCGCATTTGGTTGCTTCGATTTGCTTTGCCTTTGCAGGGCTCGACTTTAACGTGGCCCGGGTGCCAATGGCCACTGAAACGGCGTCGGGCCACCTGAAACTGTCGCGGTTGTGCCCGCCTGCACCAATAAAAATTAAGGCCGCTAGCTACGCGACCGGTTCTGGACGAGGAGGCCGCTAGCTACGCCTCCGGACATTCCATCTCACACAGAGATCTTGCGACACGTACACGCATGGATTGCGCAGGGGACGCCTGCTGATGCCGAGTGTGTGTGTTTACGTGTGTGTGTGTGTGCGTATGCGCGTGCGCGTGTACGTGTGTGTGTTTGTGTGTGCGTGTACCCAGAGTGTATGTATAGAGAGGGGTGTAGGATGAATACACTGTAGCGAGCACGGAAGGGTGGTAGGGATGATACACTGTAGAGACAGAGAGGTGTAGAGGGAGGGTGTAGGGATGATAACATGCTAGAGACAGGGAGGGGTGTAGGGATGATACACTGTAGAGACAGGGATGGTGTAGGGGGAGGGGTGTAGGGATGATACACTGTAGAGACAGAGAGGGGGAGGGGTGTAGGGATGATACACTGTAGAGACAGGGATGGTGTACGGGGAGGGGTGTAGGGATGATACACTGTAGAGACAGAGAGGGTGTAGGGATGATACACTGTAAAAGACAGAGAGGGTGTAGGGGGAGGGGTGTAGGGATGATACACTGTAGAGACAGGGAGGGGTGTAGGGATGATACACTGTAGAGACAGAGAGGGTGTAGGCACTGTTAGGGGAGTGGTGTAGGATGATACACTGTAGAGACAGAGAGGGTGTAGGGGGGAGGGGTGTAGGGATGTGCAAAAGATACCAGCAGCTGAGCCAGACTCTGATGGGGTCTGACCCATGTCAGAAATTGCATTTCGATTCATCAGAAGGTTCAGATGACAGTCACACTGACATTGAATGATTGAAGGACAGTTTTGATTGACATCTTAATGACATGAGTTCTGCTACTTGATGAAGATACTGGCAGCAGGATTTGAAAGCTTTTTAATATTTGGAAACTTATTTACTCAGTCAGGGGTTTTGTCTTTCTTTGTTGTTGTCGTAATCTAGTTATGTTATTGCGATTATTTGCTAAAACACATACCCATAGTTAGGATACAAATAAATTATTTAATAAATGTAGCAACCGGCCACCTGAAAATCCATTTGGCCACCTGAATCTCATACTCAAGTCCGCCGGCCGGCCACTCTGAAAAAAAAGTTAAGGGCAAGCCCTGCTTATGAAAGAGAACAAACGCCCATTTGTAAATGTTTTGTTTGGGTATTAGACCGCTAGTAAGGTAAGTTTTCTGATGTATTTTCCATGAAAAACATATCTTTTCCTCATTAATATAAACATATAATATCACTATAATGCAATTCTTTCGGCAAATGTGTTATTTTCATCTCAATCTTTAAGTTATGAGAGGGTCTGGGCTCTCGTAATATAGCATACGTACGTATGTCACGCACTCGTAGTGCTTCGTCGCAGGTGCAGGATGCGAGGAATGAGCGAAGGCTACGACAGTACTACTAGAGCACTACGACTCGGTATATAGTACTAGGGCTACGACAGTACTAGAGCTAACGTACCGTACTCGCTACTCCGTTGACGCTAGTGTGTAGTATACTAGTACGTTAGTCAGTCGTAGTAGTCAGCCTAGTGTTTAACCCTGAGGTCAGCTGAAACGTAACTAATCGGCCACGGCCACGAAACATAAACAGAAATTCTGGCAGCTATAACTATAAGTATAAGCTAGACCCGCTGCATAACTGAAGATTAAGAGAAACATAAGCACATTTGCTTTTTTTTGTTTCCACAAAGAATTAGCAATCTTATCAGTAATAATTATATGTTATAATAATGAGTAATTATCGCTGTCTTTCATGTGAAAATAACATCATAGAAAATTATACTTATCTAGCGGTCATAAAACCAAACAAAATTTATAAACGGCGTTTGTTCTCTTGATCTTGCAAGGTTTTCATCAGTCAAAGCAAAATCAGTCAAGAAACGGCATGATATTGCGTGTACATTCACTCAAACCATGTTGTTTTCAAAGAAAACATACTAAAAAACTACTTTAACCTCACTTACAGAAGTTCGCGGAACGTTTGATGTAAATAATTGGCTTTGGCTACAAGTCATGGAGGCTGAACATGTTTGCAAATTCAGCCAATCAAGAGAAGGCGCCTACAAAACCTTCCATGTTATACCTTTGGGGAAAAATGCGTAGGGTGAGGTCGCACGACGTGCCGCTTGCCACGGGCAGCGCGAGGGTCAGGAGGTTGCTCAAAACATGGCACGACGCAGCAGCGCCGTAACCTCGCGTGCATGCATTTGCAGATAGCATCTAGTACCGGCCCCCCCACGTGGAGCGCGTACCGACACTTTCCGGTAAAAAGCTCTGCTGATAGAACAAAACTCTATTTACTGGCAGTAGTGGCCTTCATCGCGTAGCGGCCAACGAGGCACGAGCGCGTTCATCAGCTGAGCTGGACAGCAGTTCTGAGGTGGTTTCTTGTAGGAGTCACTACGTCTTAGCCATGAGGCGCGCCACCCCAAAAAAAGTTTAGGGGCCGTTTGGAGATGGCCTCCTGCCGTCCATCGCGAAATGTCGGTTGGATTGCGCCCAGTTTTCGCGTAGTGCGTTTTCAGACCCCTGTCTCAGATATCTCTCTAAGTGGACAAAAAGGGGGCGGCGTATTCGCGTTGGGCGCGCAAAATCCGGGGCCGCAAGTCCGTCTAGCCGTGAACGCAACAGTACTACTACGTCTACGTGTGCTGGCTAAGATATCGGTGTGCGGAGCCCCGCTTAATTTCCCGAACGGCATTTTAAATACTGACGCCATCCGCATTGTTCTAGTCCACGCGCTCCCATTGGTCAAGCAATTTAGAGGGGCCACTGGTCAAAACGCCCCTGGCCTGCGCGTTCCGATTGGGTTGGCTTGGGGTCGTTAGCCACGCCCCGAGGCTACCGACCCACGTGCGTTGGAGAAAAACAAAGAGACAAAGAGAACATGTTCTTACCTCAACTAATTTGGCCTTCTTATTCGTATTTTCTGATTAACATATTACTCTATCACATTACTCTATTACAGTAGCTCAAAATGTAACACATGTGACTGGTTGTGATCTTTTATGAAAAAGCCATTTCGCCAAAATTCAACACAGAAAATGTTGAAAAATGGTCCTTTGGCAAAAAAATTAGGACTATTAAGTACTTTTCTAAGATTTCACCAAAAATAAGTACTAATAAGGGCCCTTATTTTATTTTTGGCAAAATAACTACTTATAAGACTTTGGAAGACCCGCTACGAACCCTGAATAACTCAACAAAGCATGGCAACCACCCTCCACCTGCATTTTGTGCATAAATGTGTTCACACGGGCATAAAAACGACATTGTGTGAAATGACGAGCTGTAAACGCAAAACGTGACACCACAGCCATTGAATTAAAACACATTATCACACTGGAAACTCGAACACGAGGTACGAATAAAAAATTATAACCTATGGTGTAGGCTAACTAGGCAACTCTCAAGATGTTCAGGGTTCAGGGAACAATGCTTTATATAAACATGATGTAGAACCAAACAATGTTGTTTTCTGCTGGCAGGCATAGCAAATAGCAGGCAAAAATGGTAGATGCTCACCTACATCTTGTATCATCAACGGTATCATGCCCGCCTGTTCTCCAATGTGTGTGTGCGAGCGTGCGTGCTACACGCGCTTATGATCACAAACAGTGCACGCTCCTCAGTAATAGGCACGGCTGCTATCGCACGAGTGTGTGCAGTGTGCACTCATCAGATTCCAGAGCATCACTCACCTTTGCCTCAAGGATCAGTTCCTGTGTCTGGGCGTAGTCTTCTTCTTCTGACTCAGCATCCGAATCACCTGTGCTCATTTCCAGCTTGTCAAATGATTGGTCGACGACGGCGAATCCGAGCCGGACAGCCTGTGACATGCGCTCGATCAGCTCAGATTCCTGCTGCTCCTTCGTCTTCTGAAACAACAGTTGATTTGGTTGCAATGGAAATGCAACTGGATTACACTTTCGAGAAAGATCAGTGATATATATGGATATGAATGCCTATGTGACTCAGTCGCTCAGCACCTAATTTTACAGCTGGCAGATGTTCGAGATTCATAATTTTACGGCTGTTTAATTGCCTGTATGTGCAATGGATTATACTACTGTCTGAATACATGCCTCTTTCGGTTTCTCTTCCATTTGTTTGCTTTCTTCTACTTCCTCGTCATAAACACGCTGGATAAAGTAAATGTTGTATATAGATACACACCCATGTCACACACAGTAAGCACTAACACATTTTTGTGTTAACACACATCAGCACCAAAAATATTGACACGGTACAATAATGGACAAACACGTGCATAAATCAACGGACTCGAGGCATACATACAGTCTCTATAAACTGGGTGTTGGATAGGTGAAGAAAGTCGTTGAACACATTGTATACATGTGCGCTTGACAAGTGAGCATCTCTCACAAGGCTATCGACTTGCTTCTCGACATCATGAGTTTTCGCAGTCATTCGATGTGAGAAGTCTTGCAGGAGCAGCAGCAGCTAGCCATAGACAGAGGAGAAAAATGAAGAGGTCAGGGTTCTCCCTACGTTGCGCAAACGGGGCGCACGCGCCCCGTTTGGGAAAACTCCCTCCTGTTTGAATCGGTGCGCCCCGAATTCCACAACAATAAAAGTTTGCCAGCGCGAGAATCGATCGTCAAGAATTGCAGTTCGACCAGGACATCCGACGCGTGTATTTTTACCGTACCACGCATGCACTGCAGACAGTAGTCACAGTACACAAGTTAACCTGGCAATGCACAGTTAACATGTAACTAACTGTAGACCGACTCGGCTATCTTATATATACAAGCCCAAATACCGTCTATGGTGTGGTGGCGATTTTACGCATTAATTAGTCGTACGGTTATAGAAACACGCCCCCCGGACCCCCCTAGTTATTTCTCTTTCATGCACTGATATTATCCA